AACCTGACATTCGCGTTTGTTGCGCGGCTGTGCGAAACAACATATCGCAAAGCGTCTAGTAATGGTCGTCCCGCCTACAAACAACTCGCCGCAAAGCTTATTTAAAGCTTCAAGCGAAGGTGAGCTAAAAGCTAAAACGTCTCCTCCTCGTCCAACAACTCTTCGCCCTCGCCCTCGCCCTCGGGGACTTCGAAGCCGTCCTGCGGGGAAAGAAGATGGGTGTTAGTAAAAAAGGGAGGAGAGTGGGGGAGGGGAGGGGAGGGGAGGGGAGGGAGGGGGGGAAGAAGGGGAGGGAGAAAGAAGGAGCAGAGGACGGACGCGACGACAACGACAACGACAACGACTTCCAACAGCCGACTCAGAACGGCGCATCCACAGCGCACACCCGTCTCGACGCGCAACCGCACGCACTAACGCATCGCCACGAAAAACTTTCCTCGCCGACCCCACGGGCGCGCAACCCAACCTGCACGGCTGAAAACAATTCCCCGTTCACACTCCAGCAAAGCGGCTCGCCTCTCTCCCCGACGACGGAAAGAACTCCGCAAGAGCCCGCATTCGACGCGCCACGCCACGCCACTCCAAACCCCATCCCCCCTTTGCCTCCTCAACGCAAAGCTCCCGCCTCTTCGTCCCAGAACCACACGACGCGCCGGGCAGAACCACGACGAAGAAAACAAAACGCAACGCCGTCCGGGTACCACGCCAGACCTTCCACGCGAACCGCGTGCCGCGTTGCCCCGATACCCAAAACAAAACACACGTGGATGTGGCGCCACGGCTCTCCCCATCCCTCCCCCTCCCCCTCTCTCCCCTCCCTCTCCTCCCCCTTCGAAAAAAGCTCCCTCCAAACAAAAAACCCCCCTCCAAGAAAGAAAGAAAAAAAGAAAAAAGAAAGAAGGAAAAAAAGAAACCCACCTCCGTACTATACAAAATCTTCTGTATGCTCCCCAGCGTCGCGTCCTCCGGCTGCCCGGCGAGCTCGAGCGCCTCCGCTTGCGAGGTGACGAGGATCTCGATTTCGCGGAGCTGTGCGTGTAGGCGAGGTAGGGAGTGGGAGAGGGCGGGGGGAGAGTAGGCGAACACAAGGCGAGTTGGGGGCGGGGGGGTGGGGAGGGTGGAAGATGGGGAGGGTGGAAGATGGGGGTGGGGAGGGAAGGAAGGGAAAGGGAAAGGGTTGGTGGAGGTTAAAGAGGGAGGGAGTGGGGGAGCGGGAGCGGGAGCGGGAGCGGGGGAGATGGCGACGACGTTGTGTGTGAAGGAGGACCGGCGTGCGAGGAGGAATCCGCGTGTGGCGTAGGCGTGGGACGAACGATCGAGCGTCGAGCATCGCGAAGGGGACGAGTCGAGGTACAAGTTGAGGTATAGAACGCATAATCAGCATCAACCGACGGTAAACCATAAACCATAAACGGGTCGCGCTCGCAACCGCAAGGACGGAAAAAAAAGGGGGGCAAACGACAAGCGCGCGGGCGGTGATCGCGCGGAAGAGGGAAGAGGGAAGAGGGGAGGGAGGGACAAGGCACAAGGCACGAGAGCGACGTAGATGATCAGATCCCGAACGACGTGCGTCGTCGTCGTCGTCGGTGGACACCGGCGGGACGCGAAGAGCGAAGAACCGCCGGGCGTGCGCCCACGCCCACGCACGCGCAAAGGCCAGACGTGCGCCGACAACGGTGCAATGGCACGCACGGACGCGAGGGGGGAAGCGAGGGAGACAAGACAGGACAAGACTGGACAAGACTGGGCAGCGTCCGACGCGGATGGGATGGGATGCACGGGGACGACGGAGAGAGCCAGTGCGAGGCGGGCCGTCCGCCACTCCCCGCCCTCCCCCCCAAAAAACCGAAGGAAAAAGAAATAACGGGACCGGGAACGGAAAAAAAGAGAAAGAGAACAGAAAGAAAGAGAAAGCAGAAGAAACGCACCTTCTCGAAATAAAAATCCCGCTCCCGCTCCAAACCCTCCACCTGCCCGCCGAGCTCCGCCACCTGCGCATGCAGCGCCTGCAGCTCCGCCGGCGTCACGCGCGCGCCGCCCACCGGCGTCCGCCCGCCTGCCCGTGCGCCGGCGGCACCGTTGTGCGCTGCGACGGCGCGCGTGGAGAGGGATGTCGTGTGCGAGGAAGCAGGGGCACGGGAGGTGTGGGAGGAGGCGGCATGGGAGGAGGGCGGGAGGGCGGCGTCGCCTTTGCGCCGGCCGATGGCGTCGTATTCGCCGCCTGCGTAGTTGGCGTCCCAGAATTTGCGCAGCCATTGTAGGAATTCGAGGTTATCCCTGCGCGCTCAAGTCAGCGTCCATCCCTTCCCATCTATCACAATAACCCAATAAGCCCTCTCCACCAGGGCTTAGAAAAGGAGAGCGAGAAGGCAAAAAAGAAACAAAAACACGCACTGCATCTTGCACTTCATGAGCTTCTCCACCGGCACCGGCTTATCGATCTTCTTCGCCTTGAACACATTCTGCATGATCTTGTAGTTCACCAGGTACTCGTGCTCCGCCTTCGCGCCCATCTTCACGCGCGCCATCGGGAGGTCGCCGTAGATGCTGTCGAGCACCTGCAGGTACGCGCCGCCCGCGCCGCACTGCTCGACCTTGGTGTAGTTCAGCTGCAGGAGGTCGTTGATCCATTGCAGGAGCTCCGTGCGCGAGGCGCCGGCCATTTTGTGGGTTAGATTAGAAAAGGAGGAGAGGGGGAGCAAGGAAAGGAAGACGCGTGTGGTGGCACGAGAAGAGAGGTGACTGTCACGCGTTCGGTAACTGGTAAATAGGGACAACGTGAAAATGATCCGGCGCGGCTTGATGGCTCTTGGAGTCGAACGACCACGTCGATGTTGGGGGAACAGCGTCTGGGGCAATGATTCAGAACTGTTACTATTAGGACCGCTCGTTTCCGCTGTACGCGGAGTCCAAGGAGCATTCCTCCGCCGCCCGCGTTCTAATTCTCCTCACCCTTATGCCGAAGACCGAGATACCAACGCCGTATATTCAAGGCGCATTCGCGCATCGTGCATCATCGATATCCCCGCGCTCAGCTCGTTCGAAACGCGCCCGCGGCATGTTTAAGCGCGTCGCATTTTTATTTGGTCAGTCTGGACTCTGGACATGTGTAGCACTGAGTCCCGAGTAAGTACGTAGTCAGAACACCTCCCGAGTAAGGACCACGCCGCCCGATTCATCCGGTATGTCACGGAGAACCCGATTCCCAGCGCAGTGCAATTGAATGTACCAATCCCACGCAAGTCGCAAGTCGGTCGGACACCCGTTCCACACCCCGCAACTCCCGGCTCCCGACTCTCTACCAACCCGCAGGCGCAGAATCCAGATCACAGGCAAGCAAAAACAAGCAAAGGCAAGGCGGGTCCGACCGCGCACCGATATCTGATATGATGTGCTTCCACCGCGGTTCGAGCCGTCATAGGTCTCGTTCGACTCGGGCCTCCGCCATCTCCCTTTTTCAGCATTTCGCCCGCCCTGAGGCTGTCCTCGTACTGAGCGGTGCGCCTCAATGGAAAATCGAGGGCTACCAATTCAAATACGTTATACAACTGTACCTCTAAATTCTCCTAAAGTCCCCCGCTGTAGTATGTACATGACACGTGTAAATCCAAGGCGCAGTCGTGAGTCGTGCACCAACGGATTTGCACCACGGTTCAGGTGAAGACTCTCGTGGGCACGCGAGGGTTCGCCATAAAGTTTAAACCAGCTTGCCGTACCCATTTTTTTATTTCTCATTCGCCCGGAAGCTTCCAGAGCACGGCGCAAGGAGCATTCAGGTACGTATATTAACTGCATTCTGAATCAGGTATATATAACATACTACAAATAACAAAGAAAGCCACCCCGGACGCTGGCGCTGCGTCATCCACCTAGTCGTTGAACCATCCGAAATTCAACACGACTCTCAAATCTAGTCTCTCGCAGCCAGACGCTCTAACATGGGGAAGCTCGTATCTCGCTTGTTAGATCTCAAATCTTAAATTCCCGCCGAGCATCTGCCCGGCCGGCTGAATCCACCAAAGCAAATCGCACGCACTGTTTTGCACGATATCAATACCTTTCCTAATTACCTACATCTAATGTAAGCCTATTTTGATTTTTTGGTAAATTACCTTGGATAACACGGAGAAGGGAAGAGAACCTCGCCCAAACAGTGAAACAATGAAGGGCCAAGGCGGTCACAGCGGGCATGGCGCGAGTAAGGATGACATGTAAGTACGAAGCACGAGTACATATATGCGGATCGTGCGTTAATATCTGCTGCAGTTCTACGATCTGGCCCATATACTTAATTGATACAGCTGCGGCAATTTTCACGATCTGGCCAGCTTCGAGGATAGGATGAGTCCTGTCTTCGAAGTCATACCATGCATCCTGCTCCGTATCAGCCACCTCGGGGTCCTTGAGATGTCGAGAGCCTCCCGCCATTGCAAGTTAAACGGCGGCAACAGCCTTGAAACACCCGACATGAGACCTGAATAGCGAACGGTCGCTTATGCGCTTTGTAGCTCTTTATTCGAGGTTGAGACATATGTAAGTTGGCAACGGATAATCTTTTTTATAGCTTGCAGCTTTCCCAGTCTCTTCCGCGCCATACGGTGGATTAACGTTCGCGTTCCACGAAACATCCCGGGTCGGCTCGTTTGCCGTCCACAGCTCTGCATTGGTTTGAGTCCAATCCTTCCGTGGGGTAGCACGCAGCTCTGGATCCAATCTTAACGGGTGCACGATCCCATTCATTTCTTCTACTTAAGCTTAGGTCCCCCTCTTCGTTGTTTTTCGCCGCCTACAGACTTGACACCATTCAACCATCGCTGCGCGCAAGGCTCCTGTGACGATTCTGCACTCAATTCCCGGTGAATCTGCATCGTGCCTGCATCTTTTGCCTGTTGGAAAGTATGCAGGACCGGAAAAAAAGGAATCACAGAGCGGACACGACGGGGTACTCATCATACACCCGCGACCTCGAAAATAGGGGTAATTGCCCTCCCAAGGCGTTAGGGCTCGGGCCTGAATCGAACAGGCGGCTTCCGCTTCCAACAGATCGTCTTGGAACCCATTACCGGCGGACGCGAACCACTCGCCACCGAGCCTTGGACTGTGTGCATGGAGCTGAACGAGCCCGGAGATACGTTATCAGAATCCTGCGCACAGAATATTAACCTCGAATATTGATCTCCGACCGGCTTTCGAATCCAGCAGACCACATATTTATGTACAGAGAAACCGAGTATTGCTGGCCGTTGCGTGGTAGGCTTGTACGAAGGGCCCGCACGCCTAGGTTCCACAAGATATTGTGGGCGGTACGTGGCATTGATCGAGCCAGGTTGTTGTAATTGGAAGGTCAGGCAAATGAACGCCAGACGACGTAGTCGGCCAGGGAGTATCTGTGAGAATGGGAAAGACCCGGAGAGAAAAGGACCACAAAAATTGAGTCAACCAGGCATGGCTCGGGCCTGGATCGAACAGGCGACTTCCGCACCAATGAACGGAACATCGAACCACACACTATAGACGGATGCGAACCACTCGCGACCGAGCCATAGTGAGTATTCAGGTTGAATGATGAGGGGTAGAGTGGGATGCACTCACTTGGAAAGTCGGATATCTACACTCCGCGCCACGCTCATGGAGTAAAAAACCGTCCCGTACGGCAAGGAAACCGACATGACTGGGGCATTAACCGGACAGACTGCTTCCGCATAGGTAAACCGCTTTTTCGCAGTACACGCGGATGCGACCCACTCGCTACCGAGCCATGAGCAGCAGGTATAAAAGGGGTGGCAGGACCCAGCCCGCAGAGTCCCCGGACGACTCGGATTTCCCCGATCCAACCACGCGGGCAGACTGCAAATATCACCCTCCTCGCTGACCAATACGAGGATGAGCTTGGGATGAGCGGAGGCTGTACATGTCGGCGTCGGCAAGGAATGCCGCGCGTCAGGACATCGACGCGGGAAGGAGTGAGGGATTTGAGGCAGATACGGAGCCACACATAAAGGGCGAGAGAATGAATTGGATTTGAACTGGTAACAGAGGAGGAAAGGGTTCGCCAAGGGTACGCGCGGCGCGTCGTACTGGGAGCCAAACACGCAGAGGAGCAGATGCTACGCCATGGTCGAGAAACAGGGAAGAGGCCATGCATGCAAGCAAGCCAGGACGCAAGGACCAAAAATGCGAAGAGGAGAGGAGAAGGGCAAGACGACCAGAGTGTCCGATATGGGCTGCCACAGATGTGTAGAGATACACTGCGGCGGCGAGGCGTGAAGTATACAGTCCGGCCGTCCCCTGAGTAACATAGACACGCGGTCCGAATCCTCCCCTGGTAAAGAAAAGTTGACCATGTGTATGTAACGGAAACGCGAAACGCGAAACACCAAACGCACCACGCACCTTCTCGAAATAAAAGTCCCTATCCCGCTCCAAGCCGTCCGTCAAATATTCGTGCTCTACTTGACATCTGTCTTGACGCGCGCCATTGCTCTCGGTAGTTGAGCTGGAGGCAAGCTGGAGGTTGGCTGGAGGAGCTCGTTGATCCATTGGGGTTCCGTGGGCGAGGCGTCGGCCATTGGTTTCGGCAAGGGAAGGGAGAATGGTCGGTGGAGGAGGAGCAAGGATGGCGTTAGGGAAAAAGCAGGACGCGGTGGCAGGAGAAGAGAACTGACTGTCACGCGTGACGCGTTCGGGTAACGGGTAAATAAGCACAAAGATGGGGTGATCCGCCTCGGCTTGATCGCTCTTGAGCTCCAACCACCATCTCGCTTTTGCGTCCTCGGCGTTGCGGGCAGACACTCAGGTAAAAGAAGGCTCGGTGTATGTAAAATGACCCTTGATGCTTGCGACACCTGCTTGGGGTCGACAGCCAGCCTCAGACGCAACTCGCGCCGTTTTCAAGGCGCGTCGTGTACGCAATATCTGTGCTGCACCGTAAATTCACTGACTCCGCTCGTTTGACTCGGGCCCGCGCCATGGTGCGATCCGCATATTCTTTTCGAGGTCCACGCGCTCAGTACAACCATGCGAAGGTTCCGGAACCTTTCCCCTTTCATCAGGAATTTCTCTAGATCCGGGACGCTGATGCTCTACTTGGACAATCTTCTTCCCGTTGTTGGCAAGCTACACTTCCTTCAAGTTGGCATCAAGACCCCCGTACTCGCTGCCCCACTCCAGGAAAGATTCAAAATTCGTTGACGTCACCAGCAACCTCTCTAATATCCGGACATAATCCCAACGCAATATTTGCCAGGCGAACTCGTGCACGGATACTTGCGCAAGTCTAGTCCTCGTTCTGCCTCAAGTCTAGCGATACGGAGAATGCAAGGCAATGCGGGTTCCGCCTGATCTGATCTGCCCAACACCGTAGATTACATGGCTCGTTGGCTTCGGGTTTCGGCCATTTTATGCTTAACAGTAGTACGACCAAAGTTTGACCAAAGTAAGACAGGGCATTTCTGTGGGATGTGAAGTAGCTGATTTCATGCCTTATTTATGTCTGAGGTTTTTTTGGCCTCTTTACAGCTGTTTGCAAAAAGGATGGAAGTAGTCGAGATTTTGATCAAATGATCAAATTTGATCTGCCGGTTTCCGGCACTCATTTCTCACTCGTTTCTCACTCGATTCACCCAGTTCTGGTAGGGATGGGACCACATTAAGTAGGGCTCGAGTTTTGCATCTTTTTCGATGAGTATAACAAAATATTTAAATGGCTCAATTTTGCCTTTGCATTGTTTCAAAGGAGGATTGAAACACCTGCCGTTCGCGCAATTCTTATCCAATTTACGAGTTTTGAACAGAAGTAGGATTTAAAACATGAGACATAGACCTTCCGCACTTACAATCTTGCAGCACTCGTGAGACACCGAGTCGGCACCGGGTTTCACACATTTGTCAGTAATGCGAGTCCCGCACGATTGCATGTCACACTCGACACATTGTGGGGGACGGGGCGGTATTGCCTCTATTCTGGCTTTCGGAATCAGTCGAAATTGTGTGAATCCGTTACGAATCGACTGGGAACGGGCCATTGACATTCCGGTTCAAACCAGGTGGCCGGGGTTTTTGGTACATCTGAAGATTGCCACTTATCAGTTAAAATGGGTATGAACTAAAAGCCCTGCTCAACGCGGTCCCATCCCTACCACAACTGGAGTGAGGAACGAGTGAGAAATGAGTGCCGGAAGCCGGCAGATCAAATCTGATCATTTGATCAAGATCTCGACTACTGCCTTAGTCTGCCATCCTTTTTGCAAACAGCTGTAAAGGTGCTTTCTCGGATTTGGCTATTCAGTAAGTTCGGGAGACTTGGCTTCGTTGGCAGAGACAACTAGTTAGTCACAGCTGTGACAGCAACCGGATGTACAGCCGATGCCAAAGATGGCACAACAAGCCACGCAAAACTTTTCCTTCTCTTCCACCACCAACATCACGGAGGGTCCCAGGCTGCCGAAAACCTACTCGAGCATCTTGATGTTTTCTTTCTGCAATCATTGAACCTTCTCGTGTGGGCCGGGGCCTTGCGCTTTCTGGGCCCTTATCGATCTGGAGACTGGAATTGGCCAAGATTCGGCTCGCCGTTGCCTCGCTGAGCCTCCCACAGCACAGCACGACTTCCACTCAACCTCCACCAAAAGATTCTGTGCAGCGATTTACTCCCCCAACCCCGCATCTCTCCATCCTCGCAGAATTTCTATTGCCGCCTCGCTTGGTATCTCGGATACAACAAAATTTCGTGCTCAGGCTTCCGCAACGGCGATAAATGCAGCACCTCCCTGATCGGTATAGCTGTCCCCCGTTATCGCATGCGCAAAAATACCGCGCGCGGTCTCGGGCGGCGACACAAGACACGGGGTCTCGGGAGGGTCCTTCGCTTCTGCTTTCGGGACGTCTTCTATCACAGGTTCTCCCGCGCGAGCCGACCCGGCGTCTGGCTGTGGCATCCCGATCTTTGTTATGTTACCGAAGCTCCTGGTGTTTCCTGATTTCAAGACTCGTCCTCTCCTCAGCCTTCAAGAAATACGGATGGCCGCGTAATTTGCAATGTGTACCGTTGCACAGTACCAGCGATAGTTGCCAACTGACAGGCTACCCCGCTCTACTACTGCCCGCGCGTTTATCGTCTGCGATCGGCGTTTTGATTCCCAGAACGTTGGATCGCTGGCGATTTATCCGATGTTCCCCGGCGGTATACCGGTGTTGTGACGGCCTACCGAGTTTGACGCTGCAGAACGCCCAATCCATCACCGCGTGGATCGTCCCCAATAGAACCGTCTGAAAATGGACATGTCCCCTCTATGGTGCAAATCTGCCGTCAAGCCGCAGTAGCCCTTTGCCACCTGGAACGGAGCGTGAGCATTCTCGTGCCACGGCCAATGTGCTCTCTCGCACGCGGTTCCCGCTCGCTATTGTGGGACCGTCGGAACTTCCTGCGCCTGGACTTGCTCTGGGGTGTTGTGCATTTGTTACCCCCAACACTGGACCCACAGAAGAGACCTACAGTCGGTGTAATATTTGAAGCGACTCCCACGGCGGGCTGGAATTCTTTGAATGTTGGGCTTATTCTCGTACGTCAGTCTATCTCAATGCGAGCTCTACCCTGGCAATTTGACAGGTTTTGAGGACGTCGAATGTCGAGCATATGTTGAAGTGCTGAACCTGGGAGAACAACACAGGTGACTGACGGCACTTCGAACCTCCGCACTTCGTGGTGCTCCATCATGTCGCCCGCGTATACTATGAAGTCAAAGGTTAAGCGTCTTGGACGTCACCGCGGCGCGAGCAAGACGGACTCCGGAGGAAGCACGCGGGAACCACTCAGATTACCGTGCGTGCAGCATGTGCCTAGATTGCCACCTCCGGCACTCACAAACACCATTCGGAAGCACGCAGATCGACCGATTTGACGGTAGTAGATTTGACGTGAGACAGCGGACTATCGAAATCTCACCAGTGCTCAAGCTACCCGTGGGTCCTCCAGGTTCCGATACATAAGAACATGATCTGCACCTCATACCGATTGATAACATCCCTCACTCATCCCCTCGTCCTAGGCGTCCTTGAATTACTTGAGCCACTGGTATCTATCATTGTAATCGTT